AAAAAAAAAAAAAAGAGAAAGAAGACAGCATGGTGAAAGAAGGCGAGGAAGGTGAAGGGAAGAGGGAGGTTGGTGAGAGAGAAGCCGGCAGCCATAGCTGACCGAAGGGTTGACCGGGAGAGTTGACCAGAGGGGTTGACCGCAGCATTGACCGGTGCTGACCAAGGCGTTGACCAAGACTTTGACCAAGCTGGAGCCGGTAAAATCTCGCCAAGCCTTCAGCCTATCCCTCGCCCTATGGATGTGCACACACCCTGTGGTACTGCTGAGTCCAGTCTGTCAGTCTCTTCTTTCTGCATCGAGTCTCTTCTGTCTAGGTGATAGTACTCTGTGGATGAAGGATAGGGCCTTGTTGACCAAACCCACACGGGCTGAGTAGGGCTAAAGACTGTGTCTGACGACTCGACTGTCTCGGAGGACGCGAACCCTCCCAAGGACCTGTATTGACCGGTGGGCTGCTCGGTGTGGCACGGTAGGCCCAAAATTCGAGCTGTGGGCTGCACAACAGGCCGTCCAAGTGTTGAGAGACCTGCTGATCGCGTCGTCCTGTCTGCGACGTTAAATAATTCCTGAGGAGTTACGAGGGATCTCCTTAAATGCCTCTTGATCAACATTAGGTCTAGTAGTGACAGCCATAGTTAGGTCCAGGCTAGAGACCCGAGTTGGCAGGATCCCTGTACGGATTCTGTGAGTCTTAGATTGAGTCAGTAGGTCTGTCAGTCAGGGGTTAGAGTCTACGTGGTGAGGTTTGGAACCGCTAATCCGGTTATGCACGTATCACCATGGTTAACACCCGGAGTGGGAAGAGCACTACCCCCTACACCCAGGAGCAACAGGAAAAGATGGTCGCCTTAGTGAGAGAGAACAAGGAGAGGAAGGAGCTCCTGAAACAGGCAAAGCTAAAGACAATCGCAGAGGAGCAGGCGGCGAAGATGAAGAAACTGGAGGAGGAGATGAAGAGAGTTCAGCAGGAGGAGGAAGAGAGAAGAAAGGCTGCCGAAGAGGAAGCAGCAGCAAAAGAAGAAAAAGAGAGAAAGCATATTGAAAGCAGAGAGGAGAGTAGTGGCACGAAGAAGGACGGAGACGCAGAGATGGAGAGGAAGACTAGCGAGTGGATAACTAATTTATCGTTGGGGGAAGATGAGGAGGCGGAGTTCTATGTGCCCCAGGACGAGAGGGATGCGCTAGCCCAGGAGCTAGCAGCAATGGAGGACCCCCTGGAAAGACAAGAAAGAGAGGAGGAGAAAAAGTTGGAGTGGAAATTGGGAATGAAGAGGGAGAAGAAGAGAAGGAGGGATGAAGTCAACAGGTTGACCGCAAAAGTGGCAAAAATGAAAGACTGCAGGCAGGAGGTGCAGGCGCAGACAGACATGACTGCCAAGATGGATAAGGTGCTGGGATATTTAGAGGTGTTGAGCGCGGCTTGGATGGAGGAGCGCCAAACTAGCTAGGGTCAAGATGTGGCCCTGAAGGCCATGCGGTCCGGTTTTCGGAATTTTGCGCGCGAGATGGTTACCCACGTTGGAGGGGAAGTCAGGCGGTTGAGAGACAACGTGGGGAAGTTCTGTGAGGGTGCCATTGAGGGCGCCAAAGTAGTAGTCGCTGCTGAGGGCGAGGCCAGACCTCACAAAGAATCAGTCAAACTTAAGTTCCCCGATGCTTATGGTGGGAAATCTGACGAGAACTTCGATAACTGGGAGGCTAGTGTAAACAGTTACGTTTACTTACAGCACATCGTACAGGACGATCAGGTCCTGGTTGCCTTCCAGGCCCTCAAGGACGAAGCGGCTAGTTTTGCTAGGTCCCTCGCGCGCGCGGCCGGTTGTGAAAACAACATGGTCGCCTATTCCAAGGTTACCCCTCTCCCTCAATTTCAAGCTCCTTAGAGAGCGATTCGCTGATCTTCGTAGAGGCGTTAGAGCCTCTGACAAGCTCCAAACCATCCACTCACGACAGTGGAGGAGTGCCAAGGCACTCAAGGCAGTGATGGACGACCTGGTGGTCGTCCCAGACCATGGGGTGGCTGAGTCCCAGTGCCTAGCTATTTTATCGTGCCATGCCAGAGCCCCTGCGTGGGCACTTCTTTGACAAGTCCCAACAGCCCACCATAACGTACGATGCGCTCAGTAGAGAGGTGGTGTTGTTTGAGGCCAAGTCCATGCCGGTTACCACTGTCTGGCATAAGGACTTAGACAAGGGCAAAAGGTGGAAAGGTCGTACCATCTCTAGCCAAGTCAGGGCCAAGGATCACATGATCCTTACCTTAGAGGAGGGTGGTACAGATGAGGTCCCATATAGTCAGATTGAGTGGGGCCTTGAAAAGGAGGACAGTACCGTGGGGCAGGGGAGGTCCTATGCTGTTGTTGCGGCTGGAGGGAGGCCGCAAAGTAGAGGAGGAGGCCAGGGCCAAAGGGGCCAGGCCATGGGAGGTCGAGGACCGAGCGCACAGGGGGTTGGCGGACAAGGGAACCGCCAAGTGGGACGTAGGGGTCAAGGTCCCCCGCCAAATCGCCAGGGTTCTTGTCGGTCCCCACAGCGACGAGGTGGAAGGGCACCTCAAGGAGGATGGCACCCAGGCTTGCCACAGGGCAGGCCTTGGAAGGATTTGGGCTTGGACCAGCGTATATGGCAGGAACGCGTGGACTTGGGTCAGTGCGTGTTTTGTGGTGACCCGGCCCACGTTATTAAATTTTGTCCTAAGTATAGACAGGCCCGTTGGGCTGCTCAGCAGTCAAAAGGCAGCCGCCAGTAGGGGTCGCAACTGCCCCTACTTCAAGGCCATGTGGGGAAGCGAGCGCGCGCGAACAGAAAACTCCCAAACCACATGAGCCTATGGCAGAGGTTGCAGGCCCGTGCCTAGCTAGCTGTCCAGAGACTGCTTGTGTTAGCGTCTCTCTAGGCACGTCCCTCACAGGTGTGGCAGAAGAGTTGAAGGAGAGGATGCCAGCCTGGGTCAAAATGAAGAAGGAGAGTAAGGGACAACTAATCTTAGTTGATGTAGAAGTTTTCAGATGTAGAGTAGGGGCCCTTATAGACTCAGGGGCTACCCGTAGTTATATTAGCCGTAGAGCGCTGAAGAAGCTGAGGCTAGAATTAAAAGTCCAAAAGTTAGCAGACCCCATAGTCAGTGTCCTCGCAGGCAACCGCACAATGCGGGTTGAGGACTATGTAGAGGGAGTCCAGGCGTACTTTCGCTTAGAGAAAGATGGGAAGGTGGAGAAAGTTATTCATTCCCTGACTCTCCTCGTACAGGATGACCTTCCTTTCGACATGGTGTTAGGAATGGATTGGGGGAGAGGCAGCAGGGGCCACACTCCACTTGAGAGAGCATGAGTGTAGGCTCCCTAGTCCGTTAGGCGAGGTTAAGACTGCCCGCCTGTTTCATGTGTCAGGTGTAGATAACACCTTCGCACATTGCTGTCTTAGTGCTCCCGCGTTCGCGCGACTAGTGAAAAATGAGCAATTAGAGGACCAGGTCTTTGTAGTTTATGTCAGACCTGTCACTGAGGCTAAGGAAAAGGATAGTTTCATGGATCCAACCATTGCCAAGCTGCTGGAGGAGTTCAAAGATCTAACCGAGTCGCCGATAGGAGGAGTGTCGCGACCCATCCAGCGCCGGATAGAGGTAGAGCCTGGCAGTAGGACTCCTAAGGGAGCAGTCAACAGGATGTCCCCTAGAGAGTTAGAGGAGCTTCGCAAACAGTTAGACGAGCTCCTTGAGAAAGGTTGGATCAGGCCCAGTTCCTCTCCTTTTGGCGCACCAGTCCTGTTTGTCCCCAAGAAGGAAGGATAGCTTCGTATGTGTATAGACTATAGGGGTTTGAATGCGATTACCGTGAAGAATGTTGAACCGCTCCCCTAGATAGACGATCTTCTAGATCGGGTGCAGGGTTGTAAGTATTTCTCTAAGATAGATCTAAAGTCCGGTTATCATCAGATAGAAGTCCATCCTGATGACCAGTACAAGACTGCAGTCCGGACTAGATACGGGCACTATGAGTTTATAGTGATGCCCTTTGGACTGACTAACGCGCCAACGACGTTTCAACGATGTATGAACAATCTGTTTAGGCCGTGGTTAAACAAGTTTGTAGTAGTTTATTTAGATGACATCTTAGTTTTCAGCAAGACCCTCCAGGAGCATCAGGGTCATCTAAGGCAGGTCTTGGAGAAGTTGAGAGAGGCAAACTTCAAGATCAACGCAAAGAAGTGCGAGTGGGCCAAGACACAAGTTTTGTACTTGGGCCACGTATTAGTTGGAGATGGGATCAAACCTGAAGACAACAAGATAGCGGCAATCAGAGACTGACCGATGCCCCACACATTGACAGAGTTGCAGTCGTTCTTAGGCCTAGCTAATTATTATAGAAAGTTTGTGAGGAACTTTTCTACCATCGCCGCTCCCTTGCGCAGGTTGCTTAAGAAAGAGGCAATCTGGCAATGGGACAAAGATTGTACATCTGCACTAAAGAGACTAAAGAGCGCGTTAATAGAATATCCTGTCCTCAAAGTAGTTGATCCATCTTTGCCATTTGTCGTCACCACGGACGCAAGTCAGTATGGTATAGGCGCCATGTTGCAGCAAGACAACGACAATGGCTACAGACCCGTAGAGTTCATGTCAGCGAGGATGCCTGCAGAGAAAGTAGCCACCTCGACATATGAGAGAGAACTCTACGCTCTCAGCCAGACCTTAGAGCATTGGAAGCATTACCGGCTTGGGAGGCACTTCAAAGTGTATTCTGAAACACTTCGATGGTTAAAGACTCAGGCCAAGATGACACCTAAGTTAACTAGGTGGGCCGCTGAGATAGACCAGTATGACTTTGAACTTAAGCCAGTTAAGGGCAAGTACAACGTAGTTGCGGATGCTCTGAGTAGGAGATCGGACTACTTTGGAGCCATAATACACTATCTGGATATAGGGAGAGACCTGCAGGAGAAAGTGAGGCAAGCGTATGCGCAAGACCCTATCTATAGTGACCTCCTCAAGAGAGTTAAGGAGGCCCCAGAGACCGAACCACACTACCGCACTACAAAAGGATTGCTGTTTGAGAAGACGGATGTATTCGACCGCCTATGCGTTCCCAATAGTGAGGAAATCCGCAGTCTGATCCTAGGGAAATGCCATGACACAGAGGGACACTTTGGTTGGCAAAAGACATTAGCCAATCTGATGCGTGCGTACACCTGGTCAGGGATGAAGAATGACTGCATAGAGTATGTTCGCAGTTGTAAAGTGTGCCAGAGGAATAAGACTACTACGCGCGCACCTCTAGGTCTTCTCAGACCTCTGCCTATTCCTGATCAGCCTGGAGAGTGTCCATAGACTTCATGGATACTCGAGTCAAGAGTAGGCATGGCAAGAGCCAAGTCATGGTCATAGTTGACCGATTTAGTAAGTATGTCGTTTTTGTTCCTTTGCCTGCAGAGGCACGCACAAAATTAGTTATTCAGAAGTTTTCTGATCATTGGGTTAGTGAGAACGGAGTTCCATTATCCATAGTTAGCGGTAGAGATAGTCGTTTCACCAGCCAGAACTGGAAAGAACTCAAGAGAGTTTACGGGTCAAAGTTATTAATGTCATATGGCCGTCATCCAGAGACCAACGGTCAGACAGAACAGACGAACAAGATCCTACAGCAAGTTCTGCGCATGTACATTAGACCTGACCAAATCAACTGGGATGAGATGTTGCCTAAGGTAGCTAGTGCATACAATAACAGTGTGCATCTCTCCACCTGTCGCACTCCCAATGAGCTGCACAAGTCCTTTAGACCACGCAGACCGTTCGAAGGACTGAACTGGGATCAGATTCACAGGCTACCGCCCGGAACCAGGGAGTTTGCGATATAGCACGAGAAGGAGCTACCTACAGTTGTTGAGAACCTCAGGAAGGCCCAGCACAAAATGGTAGAACAGGCCAATAAGCACCGTCGCCCCTCGCAGTTTCAAATGGGCGACTTAGTCTGGGTCAAATCTAAAGAGTTTGCACCTGAGGAGCACATCTCGCAGAAGTTGCTACCTGCATATAGAGGACCGTGGCCGGTGCTGGAAGTCGAGGGCGGAGAGGATGGACCGTCCTACACTATCGAGATCCCAGCACACCTCCACACATACCCTGTTTTCCATGCTTCAAAGCTGTTGCCGTGTGTCACAAGTCAACAGTTCCCTTCAAGAAGATCCATGATCCCCCCGGATATGGATGGCAGCTATGACATTGACGGCATTGTGGATAAAGATGTCTTTAGAACAAGAGGCAGAGGTCGTCCACAGAAACAGTATAAGGTCCGGTTTGCTTATCAGGAACCGGAAGACGACCGCTGGTTTACTAGGACAGAACTTCTAGAAACAGCTCCCGACATAGTCCGAGCCTATGAGCGTTACAAAAAGGGTAAAGGTCCTGCCTTGGACTGAAATATTATCGGAGGACCTCGAATTTAGGACGGCGGGAGTGAAACGGTTTTCACCTCTTTGCAGTAGCAGATGCAGATCTCAGGGTTCGATCCCT